CCCCCCTTGCTGGGCCTCGTGCCGCTCGGCTCGCGCAGCGGCTGGTTCAGCCTTCCCAGCCTGCTGCTGCCTCCGTCTGCTCCAGCCCCGTCTCCAGCAACGCAGCGTCGCAGTCGCCCCCAGCAGCGTTTCCAGCTCGCGTCCTGCCCCGCAGCACAGGGGAAAGAAAGGAAGCGGATACAACTGCCAGATACACCGAGCGACGCCTGCACCCAGTGTGCGGGGTCCAGCAGAGCCCACGGGAGATGGTGAAGGCACTCGTTGTTGCTCGTGTTTTTGTTTTTTGTGTGTTTTTTTCCTGTTTTTCTTCTCTTAAAAAAAAAGAAAAAGGAGAAAAAAAAAAAGACAAAATATCCCAGTGCAAAGGGAGGCCAGGAATACCCTCGGATAACCTGCCCGAGGGGCAGGGGGCCAAGCCTGGGGCATGAGGACGGTGTCCAGGACTAGTTGAGCTGTCCCGCCCGCTGGCACCATGCAGGGCCAGCCCTGGCAGAGCGCCACAGCGCAGCCGCTTCCTGGAAAACCTCCCACGAAACTCGTGGAGCAAAGCCCTGGGGACAGAGCCATGAAAGGCCGAGGTCCCCAGCGCAGGGGCTGCTCAGCACCGGCTGGCCCGGGTGCTCGTGTTCCACGCGTGTGGAGAGAAAACTTAAAAAAGGGGGGCAGAAAGAAACGAAAACCAAACCCACGCAATAGGTAAGAGGTTGCTAGCAAAAAGCCAGATACAAAAAGCAAAAAAAAATCAAGCCCAGGAAGTTATGGTGCCTGTTCCTTAAATAACTGTTGCAACAAGGAGCTGGGGACCAAGCAGGGCCTTCCCAGGGCTCCGCTCCGCCACCGTGGCACTGGGTGCCCCCGGGCGGAGGGTCCCTCTGTGGGAGAGAACGGCTCCTTCGGCGCGATCCCCCGTGCCGCGCTTGCCTCTATCAACCCTTCCAGCACCTCTGAAACCCAACTGCGTGATTGACCCACGCAAAAAGTGTTTCGATGGCACCTCCACCTCCCTCCTGCGCCTGCTGCCAGCAGCTGCCACCTTCCCCCGCGCCCGTGTGGGACAGCAGCGTCCCCGGAGCCGGGCAGGGCAGGGAGGTGCCTGGGACATGGCTGCCACAGAGCAGGCGGCTCCGGCAGCGCCTTCCCACCCGGCCCCGCGCACCAGCCTCCTCCTGCAAGTCGTCCATGATTCAAAGTGGAGCAAAGACTTTGGGTTTCAGCTTCTCAGCAGAGCTGTCCGTGTACACCAAAACAAAAACAAAAGCACGTTTCATTCACCCACTAAAGCCACCTCTAATCTTTAGTTTTTTCCTCCCTCCATTCCAAAAGCAAAAGGAAACCTAACGCTGTCCTCCTCCTCCCCTGGCAGTGCTGGTGAGGGGCAGCCCGCAGCCTGTGCCCGCAGCGAGGCCGGTCTCCGTGGGGGCCTGCTGCATCCCATATCCTGCACCCCGCAGCTGCTGCATCCCGCATCCCGCAGCTGCTGCAACTCATATCCTGCACCCCACATCCCGCAGCTGCTCCACCCCGCATCCTGCACCCCGCAGCTGCTGCATCCTGCAGGCACGAGGCCCCACAGCAGCCCGCAAGGCTGATGCCCCAACGCGCTGGCCCCGCTCATACCCCAGGCACACAGGGCCTGATCCAGAGCCATCTCTCTCGCTCCCTGTCTCTCCTTCCAGCCTCAGGATTGCCACCGCTTGGGAGCGGGCCCTGCAGAGCTTGGCTGCAGCAATGGCGCCACTGCTCCTGTGGGAATCTCAGCTGCCTTTTGCCCAGGTTCCCTCTGTCCCTGTCCTGCCACCGGTCCCTCCTTGGGCCAGGGAGCACCCGTCCCGCTCCAGCACAAGAGGGAGACGCTGCCTTCAAAGCAGCGTCTCTCTCCCCCAGTCCCTCTCCCTCCCCGGAAGCAGGTGGGGACCCGTTGGCTGCAGTGCGCCAGCCACACCGGTCTGCAGCACAGCACGGGCCTGGAGCCCAGCTCTGCCCTGCGCCGACCCTCCCTGCGCACGCAGGACACCCAACTCCTGGGTTCGCCCCAGCGGCCCAACGCAAACAGGCCTCAAGAGTCCAGACCCCGCTTCCGTCCTCCTCCTCTTCCAGCGCTGGGGCCAGACGGCATCGCTGGGACCTGGTTGTACAACGGGCGGCCTACTCCGGGCACCCGCGGCAGGCCCCGCGAGGGGAACTCGGCAGCGAGGCAGAACGATGGCGGCTGCCGGGGAGCTGGGGGCGGCGCTCGACCCCCTTCCTCGGGGCAGCTGGTGCTGGCGTCCGTGAGGCACAAGTGTCACCGTGCCATCGCCGAGGGGAAAATCGATTGTCCAAACATCCTCTCTACCTTGTCCCGGGACACAATTGCTTGGAGTGTAATCCCCCAAAGTTGCCAGGTTTCATGTGTGTTTTTTTTTTCTTGTTTTAAAAAGAGCAGCATTTGGTTTGACTGTAAAGAGATGCAAGTTGGACGCTCCCGCCGTCCTCTCAGTCACTGATTGTGTTTGTAAATCCTTCTCAGCTGAAACAGGTTTCTCAGTAATAACAATAATATTAATTAAAAAAAAAAGAGTCTCCTTTTCTTAGCTCAGACCCTGATTGGCTGGAGGCACCAAATGCCCCGGGGCCGCTCTGTCGCTGTGCGGGGCCCGCGCAGCCACTCCTCACGGCCGGACGCTGCTGCAGCAAGACCGGCCCTGCGGCCTCTCCGGGGCGGGCGGCCACGGGAGAGCCCCCCGCGCCGCGGACACCTGATTGGCAAAGGCCACCTGGAGCCCTCGCGGTCGTCAGGCCCCTCAGTTGCCCCGGTAAACCTCGATCTTGCTGGCTTTGGCCAGCATGTCGATGATGCGAGCCTCGAAGTCGGCGTCGTGCACGCCGGTCTTGCGGAACTCGCCAGCGTAGCGGTTGTTCTCCCAGTAGTGGTGCCAGTTGCCCCGGCT